AGGTGTAAAAAATAATTATCAACCAGGCAAATTACTTTGCTTCCTAACCGATGTCATCCCACGTGAGTACAGGTTGTTATATAGCTCTGGCTGGCCCAGCAGGGAAGCCAGAAGGGGCCAGTATGTCTGTCATGACACCACTAACTGCATTCTTGGGAAAGGTGGTTAAGTGAGCTCTCAGCCTTAGGAAGGAGGTACATGGAGGAGGGAGGGAGGGGAACCAGCCTCGCTGGCCCTGCAGTGTGAAGGGGGTTAGGGGCAGGTCATGCGCCCATGCTGTCTCGCACTACCTGACGCTTCCTCGCAGCTGTGGCACTTCATTCCACACAGTCCTGAGTCCCAGCTCCCCTTTTGCAGCTTGTGTCAAAATGTGCTTTATCTGATTGGCTCCAAACATCCTGAAATGTCACATGCAGATTTCTTGTGGAAACAATACATACATGTTTGCAATCATGTGGGAATTTAAATGTGTTAGCTGGAAAATGCTATTGGCAGGGAATAATAAAAAAGAAAATCTTTCTATTTCCTGCAGTGGGAACTGACCATGTAATCTTAACAGTCTTTTGTACACATATCAACAGACCAGATAATGTCCCTATCAGTGCTTGCCCTTGAAATTGTCTTTAAATGCATTAAGCATACAATAAAAAAATACTGAAATTAATGTCCAGTGTTCTGTCTTGTGTTTCATGAATAAATATGGGCATCAGTAACAATATAGAAAATATATGAAAGAATATGTTTTTCTGACTGGAATCTTCAGAAAACTCAATCAGTTCAGCAGTTTCCTGCATTCACTGTTCTGTGGATAAATTCACTGATTAAAAATAAACACAAAACCACCATGAGATATAACCTCACATGCATCAGGATAGATACTATAAAAAAAACCCCAGAAAATAACAGGTATTGGTGAGGATGTGGAGAAAATAGAGCCCTTGGGCACTGCTGGTGGGAAGGTAAAATGGTGCAGCTGTGTAGAAAACAGTATGGAGTTTGCTCAAAAAATTAAAAATAGAATTACCATATGATCCAGCAATTCTACTTCTCGGTATATACACAAAAGAATTGATAGCAGAGGCTGGAAAAGATATTTATACGCCCAAGTTCATAGCAGCATTGTTAGCAATAGCTAAAATGTGGAAGTAACTCAAGTATCCATAGATGAATGAACGGATAAGCAAAATGTTTATGGAGTATTATTCAGCCTTAAAAAAAAGAATGGAATTCTAACATGCTACAACCTGGATGAACCTTTAGGACATTATGCTAACTGAAATAAACCAGTCACAGAAGGACAACTATTTACATGATTCCATTTATGTGAAATACCTAGAATAGTCAAATTCATTGAGACAAAGTAGAAGATGGGGAATGGGGAGTCGTTTAATGGGTGCAAAGTTTCAGTTTTGCATGATGAAAAGCATTCCGGAGATGGATGGTGATAGTTGCACAACGGCATGGATGTAATCTACTGAATTGAGCACTAAAAATGGATAAGATGTAAATTTTATATTATGTGTATTTTTTAAAAAGGAAAAAAAAAAAAAAAAGCCATCCTGGAATCTGAAGACTAGATCATCAGATCAGGTGGTGCTGTCTATGTCAAATGTCTTTATTCTAAAGCGTCAGCAGCTCCACAAGAGAGGATGCTGCTTAAAGCAATGCTGTCCACTCTTAGGACTTAGAACTGCCAGATTGATTCCATGATTCTGTCTCCATTGTGACAGGCAAAATGCAACCGAATGTCTTGTGCTTGAGAATTGGAATTAGTTAGCTGCGATGAGTGACCTATGTCAAGGTCAGAGTAGGTGACTGCCTTGCTTATATGACAAGAAATGGCTAATTCTTTAAACTTTATTCTCAGCTTTTTTTTTTCGTAAACACACCACACTCCTGTAAAGCTCCAAGGTGACAGAGCATGTGTTAGTTTGGTAGGGCTTCTGTAACAAACTGGGTGACATAGCCAGGAGAAATTTATTGTCTCACAGCTCTGGAGCCTAGAA